CCCATGATCCCAATTTACAATCCCCACCCCCATGATCCCAATTTACAATCCCCCTCCCATCTTTAAGAAGAGGTTGGATAGCCATTTGTCTGAAATGGTATAGGGTTTCCTGCCTAGGCAGGGGTTGGACTAGAAGCTCTCCAAGGTCCCTTCCAACTCTGCTATTGTATTATTGTATTGTATTGTATTGATCATATACATCTGATCTCTGGGGAGAAAAACAACCCATAATCAACAATTGGTTTGCCTAACAACTGCTTAAAAAAGTTAATAAAATCGGATCTGTTCCCATGAAGACCCATTTTACAACGGTCAAGACTAAGGATCAGAATTGCCAGGCTCAATTATAGCCATAAGTCAAAGACTACCTGTACCACAAAAAGGCACTGTTAATATGTGTGTTTTGTCAAAACTGATCACTGGAGGAGGGGACACACTTACCAGGAAAACAAGGCAGTGCAAAAAGAGTGTGTAGAAGAAAGCAATAGTACGAGCCATCTTGTTGGAAAGGACGAGTCTTCCCTGCAGGGACAATAAAAAACGTGAAAGGAGATTTTAAGATTATGAATGTCTGAGATCTTGGGGGGAAAAGACAAATTCTGAAGCAGTTCACTTCCCTGTCAATTTAAGATTACTTTCCTAATCCTGGGATTTCTTCTAAGTTTTGCTAATGACAAGAAGTCCTGAATTTTGACTGCCAGCTGTTGGGGGGAAAAATCATTCTCTAACCCTCCTGAGATTTCTGGAGACATGAAAGCTAAAATACTTCATAACAACAACAACAACATCTGGATCACCACTTAAACATGCTGGGCTTTGGCAAAATCACTATCCGTCAATTGCAAAAGGCAGAGTTACTTAGAAAGCTTACCTCTTGCGATGATACCTCTAACACCATCAAACAGGTGTTTGGGAAGTACTTGACAGGTGAGCAAAAATGCGAAATCCAGTCTAACATCTGGCTGACTCTGTGGTCAACCATGACAATAATTTATTAAATTTATATGCCATTCAACTCCCAGCAACTCTGGCAGTTTACTTACTTACTTACTTACTTACTTACTTACTTACTTACTTACTTACTTACTGTCTGTCTGTCTGTCTGTCTGTCTGTCTGTCTGTCTCTCTATCTCTCTATCATCCATCTATCTATCTATCTATCTATCTATCTATCTATCTATCTATCTATCTATCTATCTATCTATCT